CCCCTTGGGAGTTCAGGTCAGCTGTCCTGGCTGTGCTCCCTCCCAGCTTCTTGTGCCCCTCCTCACTGGCAAAACATGGGAAAGTGAAAAGTCCCTGATTTAGATTAAGCACTACTGAGCAACAGCTAAAACACTGGTGTGTTATCAACAATATTCTCATACTAAATCCAAAACACAGCACTGCACCAGCTACTAAGAAGAAAATTAACTCAATCCCAGCCAAAATGAGGACATAGGATCAAAAAGAAAAAGCCAGAGTTATAATCAAATGCATAGAAGTGTTGAAAGAGCGAAAGCAAGGATGAATTTTCCACTTATCCAAGCAGAGGCCAAATTCATTTTGCAAGAAGTTAACTGAAACACAAGTGAAATTAGTAGTTGCATTGCAACTCAAAAGGAGTGGACTGCTCATTCTTCCAGGAGCATATATCCAGTCCTTGGAAGAAATGTACTGTGTTGGAATATACTTTGCAGAAGCAGTTGGTAGGGGATGTCAACCCCCCCGCATTCTAGATCTGAACCCTTGCCTGAATTTACAAGTTTTAAAACTGGGCAACACTTTAAAAAGGTTAAGTTTTTAGGAGAACATAAACTTGAAACTACGACTTCTGGCTGGTCATCGTCTGTCTTCAAACAACCAACCTGAACCTACTTGGTTCTATATATCTCTACCACATAAAACTGATTTCAGGATTCCTCTTGAAATGTGTTATGGGTCAAGATAATGTAACTTTTGATGACTGAGCCTCAGCTTGCAGTTGGAATAAGCCATGGATACTGGATGTTTCATCTCCCTTTCCTCCACCCGCTGAAGGGTTCCATGCAGAACAGCCAATACTGAAACAAAATAAAGGGGATTCTGAAAGCTTGGTGTTGCTTTTGTTTTTATTACACAAAAATCAAACAAGGGATTAGGAAGCAGACAGCCCAGGCTGTCATTTCCTCTGTGCGCTCCCACACTTCCACTCCAGCAGACTCAAGGGACAGATTTAATCACCAGACAGACAGGTCATCTGACAACAAGTGTTTTAAATTAATCTGGGAAAAGGCACTGTATATCCAACACCTCTCAAACTCTCTACTGGGATGTTTTCTTGCTTCTTGGCAAACGCAATTTAAGCCACCCACTTCCAGGGAAGCTGCATGTTTCCATACAGATACAAATCTCTTGGCTTGCATACCACTTTTGGGACACATCATTCATTCTTGTCCTAAATGTCCCTTTACCATTCAGCACAGCCTGCCCAGTGCTGAAAATACAGCTGCTGCTCAGTGCTTTTCAACACTCCATCTTCAGGAGCTCTAATAACCAGGTTGCTATCTTTGCCCACAATTTATGGCTTAGAAAAACAGAGTCAGCAGGGCACTGTGACCCAGCTATGCTCGGCTTAACGCAGAGAATTGCTTGTGTTAAGTTTACAAATATGGCATCAGTCCAGTGGATAAATTTAGTGAATAAATGTATTTTAAGGACGAGTAGAAAGATCCAGAGTTCCAAATTCAGCTTATGAATCTGCTCTTCCTATTTTGCACTTACTAAGACAGATCAAGATTTATCCCTTTGATATGGAAAACAACCGGGAACTGCATTCAGTTTTAATAAAGGAAGAGGAATCCTTCAGCGTGCTCCACTACTATTCTTCATTACATACTTACAAAAACATCTCAGATAACTTGCATTGAGTCTGAAAAGAAACATACTAGTCTGGAATTGATCTTTATGCCTACCATAGGATGCTACAGGAGTGGGCACAACACCAAGGCCAAAAATTCAAGAGACAGCATTGCTGTAGCATTGCAGGTGCATCAGGACTAAGTATCACTTGGTGTTCCCCCTCCATCTGAAAGTATTTTAATGCACTTAGTCATTAATCAGGGCCAGCTTCTGCCACAAACTGCAGCCCCTCCACAGCTCCTTCAGCACAATGACTTCTTAATGCAGAAATCTGATCAGAGCACTCCCTATCTCAATCTCTTTGAAACACCTACTTGGTTAAGGAACAAGAGAGCAGGATTATTTCATAAAGTATCATTTCCTTGAAGCCAGCTGTGTAGCAAGACACTGCTACTCCCTCTTAAACTACATCCTATTATACTCTTCTGTCAGTCCAGTCCTGCCATCTCTGCAGCTTCTGGAAAGAGGGACCAGCTCTTCTCCTTTCCACTATTATGATTATACACACGAGAGTAAGATTACTCATCTTTTATATGTGGATATCTGAAAGCATGGCAGGCAACAAAAGTCACACAGCATGGGCAACAAACAGGAGGAGCTGGAAGCCATTGTGCAGCAGAAAACTATGATATAGTTGTCATCACAGAATCATGGCGAGATGACTTGCACAACTGGAGTGCAGCAATGGATAGCTGTAAACTCTTCAGCAAGGGTAGGCAACGAAGGAGAGACAGCGTGGTAGCCCTGTGTGTTGGGGAGTGTTTTGATTGTCAAGAGCTTAATGATGGTGATGATAAGGTTGAGTGTTCATGGGCAAGAATTAGGGAGGAAAACAAGGTAGATATCACAGCTGCTATAGACCATCCAACATAGATGAAGAGGCAGATGAAATAATCCATAAGCAGCTGGGAGAAGTCTCCCAATGGCTATCCCTTGTTGTTACGGGGGACTTTAACTTACCAGATGTCTGCTGGAAACACAATACATTGGAAACAGTCTAGAAGGCTCCTAGAGTGTGTGTAAGAGAACTTCCTTACACAGCCAGTGAGGGAGCCAACCAGGGAAGGTGCCTGCTGGACCTGTTGTTTGCAAAGACTTTACTGCTCTCTACAACTACCTGAAAGGAGGCTGTAGCGAGGTGGGAGTCAGTCTCTTCTCCCAAGTAACAAGTGGACAAGAAGAGATGGCTTAAAGCTGCACCATGATTGGATATTAGGAAAAAAATGTCTCCACTGAAAGGGTTGGCAGGCATTGGAACAGGCTGCTAAGAGAAGTGGTGGAGTTACCATCGCTGGAGGTATTTAAAAAGACATGTAGAAGTGGTGTTTGGGGGCCTGGTTTAGTGGTGGGCTTAGTAGTGCTGGACTCTGATCTTAAAGTTCTTTTTCAACCTAACCAATTCTATGACACACTTTGGGAATTTTCTTCTGTCTATCCAGAGGCAAAAAATGAGTTTCTGGTATGATGCAGAGTCCATCTTTGAATATATTAACAGGATAAACTTGCATTGCCAACCTGACCTGCAATTAACCTAGCAGATGTGGTCTGTTTTCTTTATTAACACTTTGCTGAGGTAATTATTAGAGGCTCAAAAGAAAGATTAAAAAGGGTGGCCCTGGGTTATTTAAATCCTCTACAGAAGGAAATGCACTAGAATCCCTGTCAACCATTTTGTTCCCAGTACCACTCAACTTCTCTTTCTGCTGCTGTTCCGTAGAAGCAACATGAACTGGACATGTCTGTGATGCCTTTTGCATCTGGCTCACCACGCTGTCGAGGCTGTGCCTGAGCATCCCTTCCACAGAATTAAAAAGCACTTTGTGATTTTGGTTTCAGGAGACAAGCACAAACTTATCAATTTTACTACTGCTGCTGAGAGATGGGTGAAAAAAAAATAGGTCACCCTTTTGTTTCATAGCCTGTACCCTAAATCCTGCTCTAACCACACTCCTCCATTTTTGGCAACAACACTCAGTTGACACATGTTGTATTTTAGAAGGAGACAGACCTCAGACACAGTCTGAGGGGTTTTTTCCTCTTCATGAGTAGGTACAATGGGCTTTTCTAGTTATTAAAGATGCACTTACTGATCTAGTGATTGTTTTCATGTTTCTTTCGGAATTTCGCAAGGACATGCTGAAAAAGAATTCTACAAAAAGTACTGAAGCTATCACGTACTTCATTTCTTGTTATAAAAGCTGCCTCAGCTGAAGGCTGCTGGACAAACAAGAATTAAGAAACTATTTTAATGCAGACTCTGGCTGTGTTCCTAAATTCTAAAAGTGCCTATACGTAAAAATAAAATTAAATTAAATCCTCTATTTCCCAGTACATAAAAAAATTAAATCAAAGTCAGATTGCTCCTCTGTTCATTTAATTAAATTAGAAAGCATTAAGTTTCAAATGTCTATGCCTTGATACAAGAACAACAAAACCAACCAAATGCAGCAGAATAGGCTTTAGCTTCTGTCAACTGATTTGTTACCTTCATCTACCCATCTCATTAACTCAGGCATTATCATCTGGATGCGAATCAGGTCCACATGTTCTAACTGACTGTTGTGAAATCACTCATATGCTGCTTGCATAAGTAAACTTGGGTGAAACAGCCTGAGCTGAGGACAGCGATGAGAAATGTTTTCCCTCTGCAAGAAGCGACATGTTTGCATAGAGCTTCTACATTACAGTAAGGACGATTATCAATCTTTCATGATCTGAATTTGAACAAAAACTAACCCCTGTCACTAATATGAAAGGAGGCTTCAGAGATGACAGCAGGGGGAAGCTAGCTTTTCATTTGGTAAGGAAAGAAGTGGTTTAGGGTAGCTTCACTTTTGTCAGAAAGTAAAAGACAAAAAAGGGTTATGATTTCTATGTCAAGAAAATGGTGTTGCAAACCTTCAGCAATGCCTGACTTGAAGACAAAAATCACACTGCAAACCTCCCAGTATGACGCAGGAGTGTTACAGGAAGAGAAATGGAGAAAATGTTCTTATTTCCAATTCATTCTCAGCTGGAGTCAAGGTAAGCCTATTGTATACTAAAATGCTTTTCCCAGCTTTTTTCCCTAACAAGTTGCTATGGAATAATTGCTAATAGTACCCTAGACAGTCATTCCAGTGCTGGGTGGCATCATAAGAATGGCACTGCATGAGATTTCCACTTGCTAGGCTTGTGTGTCCCAAAATAAAAGGAGAAGAATAGAGATCTGCAAAGATGAAAATATTCAAAGGAAATAAAGCACCATATAAAATGTACAAAAGGCTGTCAGACCTAAGTACTAACACAGGAAGTCCAAGAAAAATACAATTCTCACACAGTAGGATTTCATAATTAAAGGGGGTTTTTTATTTCTTCACTTTTTCCTTAATACAAAGCTTTGGCATCAGCAAATTTTATGAAAAAATAGAATGTACTAAATAATTGCTTGTGCTGCATGATCGATAAATGATGCATAAAAATAGGTGTCTCTCTCCAAGGCAATCGGCCGGAAAGCGTTTCTTCAATACCATTCTGCTCTGTGGGGCAGAAAAAAAGAGGAACAAAATATTTATATTAAAGTTAATACTGCCAGTACTAAAATAAATCAATCAATCCTGTAAAAGTAAGTTAGTGAGAAATGACTAATTACACAAGCCAGAGCATTAAGAGGTCCTTTCATCATTCTTACATGACCAGTAAAACAGACAGGACAAAGGCTTGAGCACTTCTGACCTTCTGAGGAAACTCCATCTGCTACTGACAACTTTCAGTGGTGCTATCCAACATCTGGGCTTTTTGGACTTTAAAGCAGTTGTACAGTAATTTCTCAAACTGCTTTCTGTTCCCAAGAAGCAGTTTGCTTCTTTTGTCCCTTTAAATCACTACTTAATTCATTTAACAGTAACAGTCCACAAATATTACAAGTCCAAGAGAAAGCAGCTGTTTCCTTATTCTCATATCACCTAATGTTTACTTTTATCAGGGACTATTTAAAAATGCATGTATGTGTGTATATATACATATGCACAAACATATATACACACACACAGTTAGATATGTATATACACACAATCCAGAACTACTGCTCTAAATAAATGTTTAAGCTGCAGGAAGGACATAGTAAAAAGAAAGGATCAGGACATGTTTTTAGGTGAGTTTTAATGCAGAATACTTGGCACATTTACTTGCATCAGCATATTACATGGCCTCATTCTTGCTACTGTTGTTTTCTGGTAAGAAAAAGACCTTCAGCTTCCTCTTGAAACACTATTGTAGCAAATGTAGGGTATGCCAGCATTGGTGTTTATATGGAGAACAGCATAAAAAAGCAGGTATGGTGTTATGACATTTAATAGGAATTGCAGTGAGAGGGAGCTGCCATGTATTTGGCATGATACTCAGCACAGGAAATGCTTAGTCTGCACTGGGGAACATAAGGTGTCAATTAAACAATAAATCTAAGGATTAGTGTCATACATTCACATTTTAAACTGTCTAAAATGAGTAGTAGAACCTGGCAGCACTTGTAGAGGCTGCTTAGATCCCAAAGGATTCAGCTGAAAAGCTGTTGAGGATGAAGGCTACAGCTAGGTACCTCAGTTCCATGAATAAGTGATTTCTGACAGCTCTGGTTTCTGCACTTGCTAGTTTTCTTAAGTCTGCCTCAAAGTAAAGCCTTGTATATGCTCATATTTTCATTCCTAGCACTGGGGAAAGGAGCTCTCTCCCTACATCAGCACATCCTTTGTTTGTACTAAGGAAACATCACTGTGAAAACACTTTGCTGGAGGCCCTAACTTTAGCAGTGTGGAGAAGCTCGCCCTTTCAGTAAAAATAGACCCAGATCCCACAGAGCAAAAGACAACAAAAAGAAGAGTTGCAAGGCAGGGAGAAACACAGCTGCTATCAGTGCCCACATCTGGATGATACTACACGGGCTACAGTTCCTTCTCTCCTTCCTAATGATGTGGAAATGCCCAGAAATGCAGCCATTCCTGTTTCACAACTCATCTTGCTCCCTGCTTTCACAACCTATTTTTCAGTACAGATTAACTATGTTCAGGCACAGCTTTTCTGCCAAGCTGCTGATCGATAGTGGAAATTCCAAGATTTTGACAAATGGGAAAAAATAAATAAATCAGGAGACCTGACAGGGCTGTTTGAAGTTCTAAAACTTTTTTTCATTAACCCTTTTTGGAATTAGCATCTGAAAAGAGGAGGAAAGGAAGATTTGCAAATTAGTGGTAATAAAGGTTCCTGATGACCAAAACCTGTAAGAATTTATGGCCCCTCCTGAAGAAGATGAGCTTAAAGCTGTCTAAAATATTACATTGGAGACTATTAGCTGTGTTTCCATTTTATTGAGAAGGACACCTTATACTTTCCAGGCAGCAATAAAAGTAAAAAAAAGCACTTCTCATCTAAAAAAATACAATTAAAAAATCATGTTTATAACATTAAATTCCCAGGCTGTGCAGGAGAATGCCTTTGAATCTCAGCCCAGTTTTGGTAAGAGATCAACACATTAATGGAAAGCATCAAGATGTCCTGAGACAAAGAAGGATTTTGACACTTCCCCTCCCCAAACAGATAATGATTAAATATGTATCATGAGCCCAGATGTTCCATACACCAGATGTACCCAGCTAATAGATCTGCAGAACTGATTTATAATTGCCTACACAGAGCTATAAAAAAGAGTGAAAGTCAGGCTGGGCAAGAAATGACTCTAGCACCTATCTGAAGGGAGGCACTGGGGTGTCTATAATAATTAAGAAAGCACGGATGTCTTTAAGCATTCCTTTGACTGTAATTCTTAAGCATACTACAATGAGAGCTCAGAAGGCTGGTCTGCTACCTTCACTTATGAGAGAAGAAACAGTAGTGTATTCCGTACTTTTATATCTCCCTCTCCTGAAAGCAACAAGTTAGCTTTATATTTAAATACCTTTATTCTTTGCTGAATGGGTGCCAACTAGGGATGCAGATTTTTATTTTTACTTAATATGAAATTTGGTTGTGATTTTGAGGTGAAACTGTCAAAGGTAACTGATAGTAGTAATTTTTGGTTCTGCCAGGTGAATCTTGAACATGGATATTTAATGGCAGAAATCTAATGTTTACCTAGATCATTGATCAGAACCTAAATATAAACATTCTCTTTTCCGTGTTCCATGTTCTCCACTTAACAAGAAGATTTCCCTCGATAATACAGCTAAATATAAATTAAGAGGGATTTAAATGTTATCTTGGAGCCTACTCTTAAGAGAGAGACTTACATTAGAGAAATGCAGAAAAGGCATTTGATTCTTTGAAAACTATGGTTTTCCTATTTCTTGGTATTTGTTCCCAATGTTTCCATGACACCCACCCACCAGAAATATATAGAAACATCTGAATTTTTACTTACTCATTAGCATTCAAGCTAGCTGTGGCTTTGATGATCATGTAGCAGAGTGTAAGGGCACTGAGGAGGCCAAAACTGGCAATAATAAACCATTCTTCTGTTGACAAAGGAAAGGGAGGAAATCACTCGTGGGAGAAGGCTTATGTCAAAGCGATGCCAATATTCCCCTCAAACACCACTGGCGGAAGGCAAGAGGCTTCTAAGCCATGACTGGCACCAGGAGGTGAAGCAGAAGGAGGTTAGCCACAGAGTTACTGACTGGAGAAGGCTAGCAAAGAAGAAGTGGAGAAAGGTGTGGAAAAAAGCATGGCACAACATTTCCTGGCTGATCCCAAGGGTTAGTGACAAAGAAAAATTACTTAATGTAAAGTGAAATGCAGGAACAAGGGGAAATGTAATGAAAGCTCTGTCCACCCCCAAGTTAGAAGATTGTCAGGGTTGGTTTAGATTAGCTGAGATGTAGTTCTTCACATAAGCACACCCAATATACTTTCACACTTAACTTGTGTCTCCACCACCCTCCCCACCCCTCCCCTAATAAATGCTATAGTGTTATTTTAAAAACCAACAAAAATAGGATAGCTTGTCGAATAGTAAAACATCATTAGAGCATTCCATTAAATAGACAGGAATATAACATGGGAAAGTAATTTCAACATTAGTGCATACATGCAGGCACACTGAAAAAATAAGAAGTAGTATAACGCAGGCTATTATAGAATGTTAACTATTCAAAGTTCAATTTGGCACTTAGCAATAGTTCAGAATACAAAGATGTTTGCTGAATATAGCTTTCGGTTTAACTTGCATGCATCAAACAATGCATGTGTCACCCATAAAATCCAAACATTTGAACAGCCTTTCCTAAAGCCTTATTTTATAAACATTGTCAGAATGAACTGTTGCTGATTATTTCTTGCTTTAGCCTTGGCATCCCATCTGTGCACGAGCAGTGCTACAGCTGGGAACAGAGAGTGAAAATACCTTCTGTAACACCAATCAGTGAAAAGTTTCAGTTAAACTACGGTCTCCCCATTCATGGCAAGGAAAGCAGCACACCAACGGATTTGCTCTCTGTTCAACAGAGCTGAATACAAGATGACTCAAATGTCAAACACTGTACAACAAAGTGACTTATTTGCTTTGTAAAGTAACCAGATTTTATATGTGGATTTTTCTTTCTCAGACCAGGACACTTCTGGATACAGACTATGTATTTTATAAGATGAGATTTTTTTAACAAGACATTTACTTTGCTGCAGCCTCTAAAGAAACACTCCAATGGACTGCATCAGTTACACATTGCCTCTTATGCATGTATCAGTGGCAAACAGTGTCACTAAGTTCAAAATCCAGATCATAAATGCACATCAGCAAAAAACAAGGAGGAAATTAGACTGTTGTCCTGCATGCATTCTATTACTGCAATTCAGACAGAAAGCCAACCATTCACGCATCAAATTGAGACTCTAGAGCATATGGAAAAATTATGCAATTTCAGACATTGTATTCGCTGTAGTGCTATCATACATTAAAAACCTTAGGTAAAATCCAGTGAGTGGAAATTTCCCATGCTGTTCTTATGGATGAGAGCTTGCAAGCAGTGCAGGAACAGTTTTCTGATATCATAACTACTTGGACAATACTCAAATGTTGATACATCAAATACTTCTTTTTAATTCACAATTTTTGGGACAAAAACCATCTGCTAAGAGACATTAAAATTCCAGTAGTAATGTTCTCAGGGGAAAAAATCTCTGCAGAAATAGCAAGCAGCTAAAATATTTATACTTGTATAAATTATGGCATGTTAAGTATTTTGAAAGGGTAAATAATGGTTTTGGCAACACAGCTTCTCATACTGGTCACCAAATTCAAGAGGGTCATTTTGTTGCCATTTTAGGTCATCCAGTGTTCTTTGCATGCAGATCTAAATGGATATACCATTAATAATGGAAGTGTTGGCACTGTCATACCTAGAGTTATCAGTTTCAATACGGAGCATATGCCTCTTACAGAGACACTGAGGTCACCTTTGTTCCTGCAGGGAAATCTTTCACCACGGCCCTGAAGCACAGAGCTACAGCAGAGCACGCGTCACATACCACGGAAACCATAGAAGAGTATTGGAAACCAAAGAAAACTTACTTGTCACAGCAATGTTGATCTCTCCTGACCTTGGCGTTAGCTCCCCATCCTGTGGAAGCTGTGACATCCCAGAGGTGCGCAGGGGCTCCAGGCTGAGAGAGCTGTCATTGGCAAAATCACCGAGTGCTGATCGCCTGCTCGCTGGCTGGCCTCTGGTGAGCCTCTCCATGTCAAAGGCTACGTTATCTGTACATGGCACGTTTGGCTGGAGGGATAAAAGCAATTCCACATTACAAAAGTGAATATTCTACATGTAGCAAACCTATAAATGGCGTAAAACCACACATAAACACTTTATTCAGCCACTACGTCTGTCCTCAGATCACACAAGAGAGAAAAACATGAATTAGCAACTTCTATGTGAAGTCGCTACTTCATTCCCTCTTAAAGAAGTGAAGGAAGAAGCAGATAAAAGGATTAAGGTTCAAGAAAGGGACACAAATATGCTTGTATAGCAGCCTATGCCTGTATGCTTTACCACTGTGAGCAATGATGACATGCACCAAATCCTACTGTACCCTCATCTACAAATCCAGATGTGTCGTTATTAATTGCAAAACCAGTTCATCCACAATATAACAGTGCAACTCACCACAATTCCCAGTGCCTTCAAAATGTTCAGTTTACACATTGGACATGTACAGTGCTCGCTAAGCCATGGATCCACACAGGCTTTGTGGAAAACATGCCTAGAAGAACAGACAAGCACACAAATAATTTTCAAGCAATTCTATTTCACATAATGGGAATTATTTCAACAAACCTTTAGATAGCTGCTTTTTAAATTTAGGCAGCAAAACAAATTCTAGAATTGTCAGTACTCTGTGCTGACAGCAATAAGAAAAAAAAAATAAATCAAAACCTCTTGCTTGTTGTTGCCACCCTTTACTAATAGTTCAACTAGGAAGAAAAACACTTAAAAGGAGGATTCTTCACCTCCCCTTTTATTGCAGATATGAATATGCACATGGGCAGAATAACTGGTAGGGTTACAAAGGGTAACAAAGTCCCCACTATAACCTTACGTAAAGTTTTCACTCAATTTCTATGTAGAACCTGGCCATAAATTGGGCAGGAAGAGGACAGATTGACCAGCAGTCAATTTTATCCAAAAGTCACTACAACCAATCCAACCACATTTATGTTTGATTTAGAAAGGGCTTTTATAATTATCACATTTAAATAAAAAGAAAGCTTTCCCTACAAGCAGTATTTCTTGACACCAGGAAGGAAAACACGTCCATCATCATATAATAGTCATGAGGAACACAAAAAAGAACACTAACAGAAAAAGAAGAATCTTTCAAGGATGAAAAGGCAAACTGGGTTTCTACTTGCATAGCAGTGAACTCTGTGATTGAGAACAGTCTGAACAGCCACCTACATTGCACGCAAAATCTTAAGTCACATACACAAATAAAAATATAACAGTATTGGGATTGATATAAACCAATACAACAATGAAGTATTACGCAGAGACCAAAACAACATATCTAAAGGAATGGAATTAAAGGAAATGGCTTTGTCGTGGTTTAAGCCCAGCCAGTAACTCAGAACCATGCAGCCACTCACTCACTTTCCCTTTTCCCCCCCACCCCAGGTGGGATGGAGAGGAGAATGGAAGGAATGTAAACCCCACAGGTTGAGATAAGAACAGTACAATAACTAAAATATAATATAAACCTACTACTACTAATAATAATGATAAGGGAAGTAGCAAGGGGAGAGAATATAGAACAAAAAAGGGAAGGAAAAAACCACCTCAATAAACAGCAGTGATGCACAATGCAACCGCTCACCACCCACCGACCGATACCCCTCTCGACCCGAGCAGTGATCTGGACCTTCAGGGTGACTCCCCACAGTTTCTATAGTGGGCATGACGTGCTGTGGTATGGAATACCCCTTTGGCTAGTTTGGGTCAGGTGTCCTGTCTCTGCTTCCTCCCAGCTTCTTGTGCCCCTCCTCACTGGCAGAGCATGGGAAACTGAACAGTCCCTGATCAGAGTATGTATCACTGAGCAACAACTAAAACATCAGTGTGTTGTATCAGCATTGTTCTCAGGCTAAAGCTGAAACACAGCACTGCACCAGCTACTAGAAAGGAGAAAAATAATTGTTACAGCTGAACCCAGGAGAGGCTTCTTGGCTTTTGAAAAGGCGAAGAACTTATCAGAGCATATTCATAGCAAAATGGGTATAACTAGACTTCCTACACAATACAGCTTTAGCAACTACACATAACCTAGTCTGACTACTGCCTACAGTAAGAACCCTGATCTTTCATTTCCAGTGGCAATGACTGAAAAGCAAAAAGCCAGCAAGAGCAGGCACACCCAAACAGGACAGCCTGGTGATCATGACAAGGATCAGCTATTACAAGGGCTGCTTAGCCAGTGAAGAGCTATGCTCTGAAACCAGAAGGGGCAGTGGCAGAACAAGGATCTTTTGCCATCTATTTGAGGCACTAGCAGAGTCTGTAAGAGATCGTGCATGCCCCCAAGGTAGCACGAAGTTGAGATACTCTGTCCCCTCCCTTCTCAGATACTTGCTGCACTATGCCTCAGTAAACTCTCCATGGGGTCAGAGACTTTTTTGCTCCTTACCCCTTGGGATTTCAAAACCAGAGACCCAATGAGGCATATTACCAGGTAATTCTCTTTCAAGTCTCTGGAAAAAGGCCCAAGAGAAAGACTCTAAAATTGCTAATAAACATGGAAAAGACAGTATATAATTATGTTTTGTCTGTGGCTCATAGGACTGATGGAAGGACTAAAACATAGCAACACACTAGGCTCCAGTCAGCTACAACTACATATCCTACCTGTACGAACTAAAGATGCATAGAGGCAATAGAAGATGGACAGGGAGCAAGAGAACTTTGCTTATCTATAACCCAGATATTGCAGGAACAGGCTTAGAGGATCTCCATCACTTTGCTGGCCTGTCCCTTTTAGCAATATAGCAATCATGAAAAACAGGATATGTACAGTGATTTCTGTTCTAATAATTGCACAAAACACAGACTCACTTTATCATTATTAGGTCTTATTGCATTCCCTTTATTACTCACAAAGCTAGAGGAAACTATGTAGAAATCCTGGGTGGCAGAAAATGGACTGAAATCTTCTGAAACATATAGAGATGTTGTTTTTCTATGTTAGGCAAATCATGGCTTTTAGTTGCTTATGTTTCTTACTAAGTCTCTGAAGTCTGTTTTTGTAGAGTAGGGTAAGCATGAAAATCTAATATTTTGGGAAACAGCAGACATGAAGACTCCACAGAAGTATGCAACCAGTTTTAATATATTATCAGCTAATCAGTGCTGTAGAAGCACTCAGATCAAGTAAAGCAGACGACTGATATGGATGACAACACGCATCCACTAAATACTATGAGTTACTTTAAAGAGTCATTAGCAGTTTGATAGAATTCAAATGCACCAAAACAGCATAACTATTTTGTAACATCTTAATTCTTTGCTTTTAGTTCCTAAACCCTCAAGAATATTTATTAATTCAAAAAAAAAAGTGCAGTTTTCCAAGGTTATTTATTGATGTAGATCAGCATGGCTCTGCCTACTACTTATGCTGTTTATCTACTCTCTAAAAAGCTTGCTGATACCATCATCGTGGCTCAGGCTCTGCCTGGATATCTCTGCTTGAAAGAGTTAAGGAGAAGTTATACAGGAATATAGACAGTAAACACATGAATTATTTTTAAACCTCAGTCTGACAAAGTAAGCCCTTGCATCCTCTATCATAAACCTTCTCAATGTTTTTATTTTGTCACTTGCGTTACAAGACCACCAATCTGAAGAGTTGCTAGGAAGATGGTCTAGGTCACAGCAGCTGATGGTGGTGCCCCAGAAGCCATACACCAGGGAGTGAAGTGTGACACAGCTTTTGCTGCTTCTCCAGCCTCAGGGCTAGAGGAAGCATGGCTAGCAGCCAGGCTAGCAGCACTGACGAAGTCTCCCATGCAGGCATAACTCCAAATGGGTGACCTGCAGGTATTTTTCCACTGTGTCAGCATACCCCAGCCAGTTGCCCTCGAGCTCGTAGTAAACACCATAATCCTGACTTTGTTGTACAACACAACTTCTTTGTGGCATTTCACAAAGAAAAAGTGATTTAGAAATCTCTTTTGGTAGTGTAATACCTCTGAATTAGCATATCACACAAGGGGCAGGGTTTGAACAAGCTCATAACTGCCATTTCCCAAGAGCTCACTACACTTCCCTGCTTGCAGCACAGCATACCACCAAAGGGGATCAATGTGCTGCTGCAAAGTAGCATCTTTGGTTACTGCTGAAGGCAACTGCTCCCCTTGCCCTGGGGTACAAACCTCCCAGCAGCACGCAGGTCCTTCCTGCCCTGCAGCAGGCTGCCCATCACACTTAGTACAGCTGAGAAGAGATGCTTGGACTGCTGTGGTGGGCAGGAAGGCATCACATGTGTGCCCCCAATAGACAATACCAAGGGAGAGCTGCCTCAGTGCTTTCCACAAATACAGTATTGATGGGGTAAACGAGAGACTGCCTTCACAAGCAGGTAGCAGAGAAAACAGGGGCTGTGCAGAGGCACTGCAGTAAGGATGGCATTGAGATACTGTGTTAATTTGCTTCCAAAAAAACAAAAGGCAGCTATTTGCAGCAGCACAGAATCAACAGATGATCTGCTTAGTCACTTTTCTCACTTCCTCCTTCGCCAGTAAAGGAATTATTAAAGAACTGGGTTCGAAAAATCATTTATTTTAGTGTATTCACTGCTCCTTTAATTAATTGTCTTCCTGCCTAGTAAATTCCTTCATTCCCAGGTCATCTTTCTGCCCTTTCCAATGTCACTCTCTGCTTTTCACTAAGCTGTCACTTTGCCCTCCCCTTCCCTCATCTCTTACAAGTCCGTCACACTACCCCCTCCTGATCACTTTTCACCCAGTACCCATTCATCAACTAGACACAGTGGTGTGATGGTGTAGAAATATCTGAATAAAGGAAATTGTCCATGAGGTCTGTCTTTTGCTAGAATCCTTCTGACATCTGCTTCCTCATTTTTAACTTACATAATGATATTCACAAAAGACGGAGCTGCTCCTCAGGCTTTTAAGCCTGAGACAGATGGTAGCCTCTGTGCACCAAAAGCTGTAGGTATGTCCATAGGCTGCTGGTACTGAACATATTTCTCTGAAGCACAAAACGAGCTATAAAAGTTCAATGTATTATATGCAATCATTTTCACTTTATTTTTAAGTTGGCCACAAAACTTCACATCACAAACATTTTGTTTCACTACAGAATGAGGTGCAAGTTGCTCAGCTTCTGGTAGGTTTTGCATGCTGCATCCCTGCCCAGACAGACTCCTTGCTGCTGAGGCACTGAGTGACAGACCACACTTAACTGCAGAGAACAGTTGTGGTACCAAAGGGAAATGCTACTTCTAAATTGAAGAAAGCAGCAAGGATGTCATATGTCAGTGACTCCTACTGTGTAATGATTACAGCTTCCTCAACAGGCACAGTAAGAAAAACTTCAAGCCTTTCATTTACTTCCTCTTGGACAAGCCATTTTCTCCATGGTCTTCTTGAAATGTCTCATTTGGCTTGAGATTCCCTATTTTTTTCTTCTCCATTTTAAACTACCATTGCCTATTGCACTACAATGAGAGGTTAAAGTATCAGGAAGTAGAAAGGGATTAAACCTCCAAAGCAAGATTGAGAGAAACCTCTCAAAAGCTGAAGACTGAAAAGTCTTAAATGCAATCTGAAATTTACTGGGCTCATCTCTGCAGGTACTGGTTGGCTCTTCTTTAACAAATATAACGTCTTGTGGAGCGTATCCATTTCAATGTTTCTGCCTAGCCAAAGTGGTTTTGGACTCAACTCAAACCTGAGCTGCTGCAGATGAAAAGTGAGATTTAAAAAAAGAGAAGTACAAAGTGAACATGAAAGTTGTCATATGGCCTTCAGCAGGAATGGAATCTGAGCCTCCACTGACCTTATATTCTTGTGAAAAACAGAACAGGAAATCTACACAAGAGCCTTGATATCTCCTTTATATGGGAGATGGCGCTAAGATGGCAGTCAGATGCACCTTCATCCAGCTCCCTGAAGCACCTGTAACTACCCCTGAGAGCAGGGAGCTTCCTATCTGCAGGACTGTGCCTCAAAGTTGTCTGAAGGAAATTCACTTTGATTTTTTTTTTAATTAAAAAAATAAAAAGAATTAAAAAAATCAATTATCATCTTGGTTAAATGATCTGCATCATATCTGCTGATACCAGAACAGAGCCATTGCTTGGACACCAGCAGTTGTTTAAGGAAGCTGTCTTTTAGTCCCAACTCTGCCTTATGCTTAGTGAGAGAAGATGCTTTCCAACCAGATGAAGACTCATTCTCTATTTGTTGGCAAGGACATCTCTCTGACCTCTGCTCAGCATCAAGAGAAACACACAGAGGAGTGGGATTTGTGAACCTCCATTCCACACCCTTGAGCCTCACAGAACCACCCTGAACTACACAAGTAAAGATTTTTCAAGAGGCACTTTATCAAACCATCATCTTAGTGGCCCAAAACCGGGGTGCAGTTTCCAGAAGTTCCTCCTCTAACTTCAAAGTAATCTTCTTTCTAACAAATTAAAGAGCAGGGCTCAATTCACAGATGCAAGCTGTACTTGAGATTACAATGCAGAACATAACCAGGATCTTTAGTTAACACTTGGGAGTACATTTTTCAGGACAAGAGGACATCATCTTTGAGTAAAAATGATAGAAATGTAAAAAAAGAAATGCACAGACATCTGCATGACCAAATCTTTAACACCAAACTCTTCTAATCCCAAATAGTTTAATGGAAATTTCTAAACAAACATTTGTACAGTATATTAACTAAACAACACCACCAGGAATCTGAAACAAGTCATTGCTTCCCATAGTGTAAGAGATACAGAAGGTAAAGTAAACTAAATTAAAATTCTGGCGTCACAAGTAGAATGCACACATTTACATCAGTAAGATATAATACTGTTTTGCCTTTATGATGTTAGAAATTCATCATGCATTAGAAGAAAAATATTCCAGCTATTCAGAGCAGCCTGCAGGAGGGCTTAGGAGACCAATAATGAGCTCTTATGTGCTGCTGCTGCGTGACTGAAGATTGACTCCAACACCATGACACTGTTGCTTCTAGAGTATCCTGCAGAACACTATATACAAAGCACAGGCCAAATTACTGGATCTTGGCTCCATATATATGTATCCTAATGTGCTTTTTGTGTCTGGAGATAAGGAGAAATCTTTGCATTTCACAATACAAGGGAAAGATGTCCTTGCTAATCCTTAAGGCTACCAATATGTACCAATTCACCGAAACAAATCACCTTATGGATAAGTACTTAAATCTCTCAAACAGCAAGTATCCTGAAAAAATTAAGAGAATGGAAGTGGAATGTAAACAAAATGAAAACCTTTAAGTGTCAAGAGAATGGCATAAAAGAAGGAAGTTGTTACATTTTGAGCACCAATGCAGCAAATACAAATCTTCAGGCACAAGTCAAGAACAGACTGCACCAGAGGGATCAAAGACAGATGACAGCACAGTGGCTGATTAATGTCAGAGGAGGTATGAAGGTTGGAAAGACTGCATTTCCATTTCCTACACTGTTTCAGAAACAAGCAGCCAGTGTTGCATATCTACTGTGCAGAATGCTGCAGCTGTACCTGGTTCATTATACTTCAGGTTTTTGGGTCTGACCAGTCCTTAAATCTGCACCACTGTCTGACCTCCCCCTTACAATCTTAATAGTTCCATTGCTGATATGCCCAAACTGCCCATCTTCAAAATCAGAATCTTTTGTTTAATCTCTGTGGTCATAACAGTGCCAAATTAACACCTTCATACCTTCTACTATCAGTCTCAAATAAAGTGGCTGTCACTAGGACTGGTAACTTCTAACAGTTGTGTCTGTAAATCATAACACACATGAAATATTACATGAAATCAATCAAAAGAGCACAAAGAAAGAATAGTTTCCAAACAAAGCAACTTTACTAGCTTACTTGCATGGTAAAATGCGAACAACATCGTTCTGCTTGTAACTCTCAATGCAGACAGCACAATGATCAAAGTCTGGGTCTGTTTCCTAAAATGAATAGAATGAAATTTCAAGTCAAGAGTTGAGGCTATGACAAATGTAAAAGTAATCGTGACTAGTATATGACCTCCATTGCGCCAAGTGGTTCTTACTATGAAGATACAAAAGAATGACTGGGTTATTACTTATTTTAAGTTATGCTGGAATCTATCTCTTACATTCAAAACTCTCTCCTCACGTGGAGCTGGTAAATGATTATCTGAAACATAAGCTGAGGCCTAAGATGATTCTTATCCTAAGCTGGATTGCTATAAAATATAGTGGCAATTTTCCTAGAGGCTTTACTTCAGCTTGGAGCTAAAACTTCTATTTTACTCAGTTTGTTCTGTTTTTTTCCAGGACAAGAACCCTGGAATGCTCTTTTATAGCCAGAACCAGCACATTTTACTTATTCCAGAGTAGTCCCATATTTTTTTCTGCTGCTTACTTACAGAATTATCATAGTTATTATCCAGCCATGAAGATGGGGATCACTGACTGGCTCGTCTCTTTCCTGATGTCCAAGTTACGATTTATTTTATCATTATAAACATCAGAATTTAAAAGTGGCTAATGAAAAAGGGGTGCTTTCATTTAGATGTAGGTACAGCATCAGCAATATAGAATTAAAATGTTTAGGCCTGTGACATCAAACAGACTGTGCCTTCCCTTAGTTCAAGTTTATTATTCTTTTTCTATACTTTTTGATGCCAGCAATCTATGAGGAAGCTACAGTCAGGAACCTCAGCAAAACAGCCACTACCTGGTCAGCACCAGCTGGTGCTGCATGCACAGAATCCCGGTGGGCTGCTCTGCTGGACAGGTTTTCTCCTAATCTGTTCACCTGAGTGTGCACCTCACGCTGCCTGTACTGCAACCTGCACATCACTTAACAGTTCTGAATTTATGCTACCAAATGACAGCATCTTTAATCTTAGTTTGTGAAGGTTCCCCATATCTATATGTACTCCCATAACCACAGAAAGGATTTAGTGCAGTGGGCTGCCTTGAAATAAAACTACATAGGGAGGGGAAAAAGAGCAAAGACATTAATGCTGCCTCCTCTCTGGAAGTAAATTTTTCCACCACTTCGTGATGAAGATAAAAAGATTTTTATCTTTATTAACACTATTGCTGATAGTGTTGATAGAGATAAAACCAAATCACACTGAAAAAGTCCAAGGAAATAGTTTTCTCTTAAAAAATCAAATCATAGCCAGAATTCCCTTGCCTTTTGCAAATTAAAGAGCAGAAATTAAGCAAGATTAAGTGATTTTTTTTTTCCTTTAAGAATAAAAGACAGTAGTGCTCCCAAAAGTGGCAAAAATTTAGGCCTTAACACACCACCTATTTTAGTTTATATATACTTATATTGGCAAGAAATATTACTGGACTAGCACTTACTGTCTTTAATGAAATACCTGTTTATGCTTCCCCTCAGATTACTGGATATTCACATTTTACATAAGCTATTGTCCTTAAATCCCAGTCTTTCGAACTTATTTTTACTTTACACAACCTGCATATGGAATGATTCTAAACTTACAGAATTCCACATAAACAAACCCCCAGCCAGCCAGCACACAAAACCACTGACACAGTTGTCAGATGGAATGCAAGTAGTATTTAAGCAAGAAAAACGTCTTTGAAATGTACAGACTTAACAGCATACACTGATACTAAGAGTTAAATAAAATACCACAGGACAATGTAAGCCTCCAACAATGAAGGCAAAATCATAAATCAGAAGCAGAAAGGAAAAACTGAGATTGTTTCCCCCAATAAAAATTAAACATGATGCTCAAATTTACCATGTTGAAATATTATTATTATACCTTATCACCTTTCTTTACTGTCCTGGTTGTCAATTTACCGATGGCTTTCTTGGCAGCATCTCCAAGACGACGCTAGTAAAGTGACAAATAAAAGAGCACAAATTAACCCTGATAAACAAGCTTCATTACTGTCCTTTAGAATGACTTATTTGGGCCCAATACTAACACTGCAATACACGCTACGGCAGTAGGCCAACACCCAACGCTTTCACACGTAAGACAAAAAGACAGAAAACATACTCAAAAGCACAGAGATGTCAGGAAGAAAAAACCCAATGGCTGAGCTCACAAATGCACTCAATAAGCACGGGCATAAACCTCATGGACCATATCAACATCCACAGAAATCCACACAAATCCAACATTTGTGTGACAAAACTGATCAAACCCAGCCCACAGGATAAAAGCTGAAGCAACATGCCCTCCTGATGATTTCCATTATAGTCTGTTCATACTGGTTTTTATTCAGGATGCTGTATGTAATATACCCCTGGTTCTCTTCTGAAGCTCGAATTATTACTATTTTTTTTCCCCTGAGCAGGCCAATTTTATTCTGAGATGTAAGATATGCTCTGAGTGTAACCTAGTTTCTCCCTTGCTATTACCTGAAACCACCAGGATCTCACAAAGGAAAAAAATATGGGTCATGAAATCTAAATAAGCCAATACAGACTTAAATAAAGCTGAAATGAATACTGGTTTGAAAATGAACCTCAATCTGAATACAGAGGCCAAGCTCTTTGTCGCTTATGCTGTTTTTATGACCACCACTGGGGGATGAAAGAACCATTTCTGCAGTTCAAGTGCTCATTCCTACTGCAATACCTAGTTCCCAATCAAGGAAGAATGGCTGTTTGACAGCTGGTCCATGAGATCCCAGACCCAGGGTACTGAGTGGAACAAAGCTCCTGTCTTCTTGTTCCAAGGACCTGAGATATCAGATTTGGTTTACATTGACTGGAAAAAGGGAAGTTTATGTATTTAATCTTTTACCTCCACCATGTAACAAGTACTATGCTTTTGAAAGAGATGGGCTGTTTCTGACAATGTGAACTGTACCGATCAAAACCTCCCGTATCACTTGAAACAAATGTGTGGGTTTTCTGCCCACTTTCTATACAGCTGAAAAAAAAAATCAAATCCTGCATAAGGTGTACCCCCTGTACCATAGGGGGTTCTCTGCATAGAAACTGAAACTAAGGCAGCTGCTTTTCTTTGAGAAACACAGACCTCAGAAGTCCAGGACAATCATCTGTACCACTGTTATTCTGGAATTACATAAACACTTTTTTTGTGGTTTCCACAGAAGAATACCTCTTATTATTTTTAGAGCATGGATTTGAAAAAAATCAGATACTCAGTTCCAGCTACTGAAGAATACCCATGTAGGAAATGCAGAAACAGAGGGGATGCTCTGGGGTGAGGAAGTTATTGCTTCCTGAAGACAGAAATATCTTCCCAACTTTAACATTTGAGAAATAGGTCAATTTAAGCAAATCTCAATTACACGTCCTGGAACAAGCATACTGGCCTATGTACTCTTCCATTTAAGAGATCCACCTCTTCCATTTTCTAATTATAACAAATACATTTTTATGCTAACATTGGAAATGCTCAGGATTTGCTATTTTCATACAGTAGGGGATAGGCACACAGCATATGCTTGCTTTTAAACCCCAGGAACTATCTGCCACCACATGTAAAAGACTTGCATACGTCTGGCGGAAGCACACAAGAGCAATGTGAAATACCAGTATCTACTTACATCTACTTGCACTATCTACAAAACACAGCATGGTTTGGATGGTTTTGATTTTTCTTTTTTAAAGTGTGCTTTGACATAACTTAAAAACAAGATCATCATCTAAACCAAGTTATTTCATCACTAACAGTATAGCCTTCTCTCCATGAAAGCTCTCCAGGCTCTTTAAAAATAAGCTTTAGCTGTCACCGCCTTCTTATTAAAGTTTAATAAGCTCAGCTTTTTAAACCACATAAAATTTTCATCAAGTTTTTCCTGACCTTTGTAAAAATCTAAAGAAAGAAAAAAGGTCATAAAAGCCCTTTCCCCACGGAGCAACTGTTTTGAAACACAGACATTTGGAAGAAGCCTAGAACCATGTAGGGGGATAGAGAAGGCCCAATGTAATATTCCACAGACATTCATTGAGTAGCAGTTATATTTAAACTTTCACCAACCCAAGGGACCACACTAAGTACTGGTTACAGTGTGGTCATTTAAGAATGACATCCTTAGGAAAATTTACAGGATGCCCATGGGACCTGCAGCACCAGATACTATTTATAGAAGCTAAAAAGGAAATCCTTTGTCACAACTGAAGTTTTAAGTTTGCATTTGTTTTAGGTTTGACAAAACAGCAAAGCACTGCCTCACAGTGAGCTCCTGTGTATTAGCTGTAATTTGGGAGAAGGAGGGGTGACAATGGCTAGAGGCCAGCAGCTTTGTAAGCTAGCATTGACAGATACAGGCAAAGAGAGCACAGTGGTTTTCCTGAGGCTTACTGACCCTTCTCGATAAAAGCCAAGGCACACTCTAGAGGCAGTGCACCATTAAGGCCATGCTAGTAAAACATTTACTTTTAACATTTAATCTATATTTGAATTGATGACTTGATGTAGTCAAGATCTCTGAGTGTGGCCATACTTAATTGAGGTCTTAAATTAATTGCAAAAGAATGTAGAAAAGGCATACTGAACTAAATTTTACTTAAAATACATAGCCAGGAGAACTGGGTGGTCCATACCAACCGTAATCTTGAATAAAGCTGAAAATAAACACAGACCACTAATTAGCACTCATGGCAGATTAAAGTTTGGAAATACCTCTTCGATTACCTTAACTGCTATCTTTGACAACATGGATGGAATTCATAACATTAGCTCTGTGATCCCCTACACTATACAATTTCATTTACTATTTAACTTTCCTCCCAATGCACACATAGCATGTATTACTGAGCCAACATAGAACTGGATCTTCCTTTTAGACTTTTACTCATCAAAATGCAGCTATTTTTCTTCAGTTCCATCCTTTCCTGTCATATGATAAGATCTTGTACTGGTGCTACTCAGAATAAAAACACTTTGTTATATAAAAATCCTTGATCAGCAACATGCCCTGCCTTGGAACAAAGAGGCTGTGAACACTACTTTGATGGACATTATTTGTTCTCTATCGACTACTGTACACAGAAACATCACCTGCAGAACACAGAGAAACAAAAGAGGAGTGCCCTTACCTGATTCCTGTCACGTGCACTGGTATACCTGATCTTCTGGATGAAGTAAAATATTAACCATGCTGAAGAAATTATCATCAAAACAATGAATGATATTGACACAAAGACTAGAGAGCCCCGACTGAAGTTTTTAGGAGGAACACGGGACCCGACTGCTATTGCCATCAGGACAGAGATATTCTTCTCCAAGTAATTCAGGATCTCCTTAACCTTTGATTCTGTAATCATGACAGCAACAATGTCTCCAGTCCCTATAAAAAAAAGAGAAATATGTAATTTACATTTAAAAATAGCGTATCACACACAAGATTCTCCAAATGCAAAGCCATTTGACAACTTGGAGATTTCAATCTAAGCCATCTATAGCACATGGAACATGGGACTGGGCACTCAACTCATTGCTTGCTCTTCAAAATCACATTTTCAAATTAAGGCATTAACATTCAAACTACCTGCAGCTCCACACATAGTAACAGGTCTCTACCAGTTGTTACACAGTACTTCCCACATTATAAATACTGTGTGCAGTCTGAACTAGCTTTCAAAAGTACATTTGTTCCAGATTTGAAGCTGTGGATACCTAAATGGGCAACTCAACAGCAAAACATTGAAACAATGAGTTCAACGATATTGCTAGAGTGGTCTTAGTGCTGTGTACAAGTTGCTCTGGAGAGTTATGCAAATTCCCCCGTGAGGTTATGTGGCTTTCACATGCCACCAAGGTTGTCAAGGACCTGTACATCAGAGTTTCAGCACAGAAGCAACAAAGTCAAACATTTACGTACATCACTTCTGTCTGAAGTGAAAGTAAGTCCGGATGCAAGGTAGAAAAGAAATGAAAAAAAACTTGGCAGAAATTTGAGTGCAGATTTTATCATCCATATAAAGACACGCTTGATAAGATCACAATGAAGCTGACAGCTTCATAAGCTCCATTTTGAATGTGTAGCCCATCTGGTTTTCATAGTGTATTGCCTCTAGACTACCTCCTTCCCCAAATGGAAAATTATTGATACAAAGAGAGTGACAGAATCAGACCACAAGACTTGCTGAGAAAAAACAAAATCAACCGTAGAGAAGAGAGAGCACCCATGTTTTAAAAGCAAAGGCCCTATAAAAAGAGAGGACCTTAAACTCAGGGCAATTCTGATCTAAGTTCAAAGAAAGCAAAGTTTACAAGAAAAGCAAAGCCAGAAAGAAAAGAGCCTTATGAGTACCATTCTTATTCATCCAGCTCTATTTGCTTCCTACACTAAAACCCCTTTCAAGGCCTATTTTCAAACTGCTTGCAAAGTCTGCTCATCTGTTTGCTCCATCTGCTTGCTTCAGTTCACATTCCCTCACAGAGGAGCTGCATAATGTAAGTAACTTCAGACTGAGATTTTGGATTTAGAGTGGATTTAAATTACAGAGAACCTACTGCAACAGTGAAGAGAGAACACAAGGTTCTATTTAACACAAGCAATTTCTTCAGTTGTTTAATCAAAATCTGATTTTTAAGAAGTTATTGTATCCACAAAATGATGTGGAACACCCAAAGAGCAGCGCCTTTGAAACGCAGGGCACAATAAATCAGTGGGAAAGACCCAGACAGATAATTTTTAGAGATGGGGCTTTAATAGAATTGTGTAACAGTCTTAAATGTTATTTCATTGCTCTTTCAATTCACCATGCTAAATAGTAACTTTTGCAGCGACTATCCTCAGGTTTCAGAACAAGTTCCCCAACACTGGTGGTGTGGACTGTGCTGACATAACTACTCAGAAGACTCAAAGCTGGTAATCTCAGAGATTAAGATTAGCACAGTAATTTATAAAATATTCTACAGCCCCCAAATTGTTTTCCCCAAGAAATTTCAACTTTTCCTTATTTAAAATTTAAATGGCAAAGACATTCATGCCTTGTCCTAATAACACATGTCTAAGTAGCAAAAATGTTCAGTGTTTCCTTCTGATTTTTTTGAAACAAGTGTCACTAACTCAAAAGCTTTGCATAAGCAACCAAAACCCAACACAATTTATGGATATAACTTATTTAATCACTAGCATCCACAGATTCACACAAGGTCCACTGTATTTCAGCTCCAGAGACGCTTCAGATCGAGAGGTACTGAGCTTGGTTTTATTCAAACTAATATTTAATAGACAGCAAAGCTCAGAAACAGTAAAAATCCACCACTTACGTTATTTTCAGGCAATCTACTCTGATTTCTATTTGTCCAGTTGGGAACAGACCCTGCCCAGACTTGCAGCACTTAATTACAGAACAAGAGCCACCTCCCGCAAGATTCTATACGTAGATGCAGCACATGCTCCTGCAACCCCAAGCCCCTGCAGCTCAGGTGGTGCACAACCAATCCAGAGCAGGTACTTGGTATTTTCCCTAGGCTTCAATACTGTTTTCCATATCTAGTTTGGATAGCAAAGCAAGGCAGGGAAGGGTGTGGGGTGACTGTATTCCCCAGGGCACATATTCTGCTGAGCTTACCCAGTAGGTATTTATTTGCATCAAGGAATTATGTTAGTATCAGAATATCGGCCAGAAGCACTCCGTGTAGCATTCTGACATGATTACAGATATCTGCAAAGCAAAGCTGACTAATACCTTCCGATACTAGTCCAGTTCTGTCTGAATCAAAGATGAACTGTCTACCTATCCCCTGCTGCCCAGGAAATGACAAAGCTGACAATCTGTCATGCATTTTATATAAAGGCCAGCACAAAGGGAACCACTGGCATGGCTGCAAAGTGATTTGCATTCCAAATGACTCAACTGGGAACAGCTGAAGTGCTACTGCTGCTTCTGACCCTGCAAGAGCCAAGGAAAACTGCAGAAAAGAAAAATAAATGGTGCCTGTTTAACATACTGAAGCTCAGTGGAAACTGGGACTTGGTTCATCCGTATTTTTGTCAGGGGCATCACCCTAAATAATTTTAGCAAGAGCTCCCTGTCTGAGAACAATTGGGGGCAGGAAGAGACACCAACTCATATTTTAAGAATCTTGAAACCTTGCATTTCTGAAACTTAAAGCAGAAAAAAAATCCCTCAGGTGAACATGGAGAGATTAACAGCGTTTGCATAGAAAACTCAAAGTTAGAATATGGTCTTGCTACATAATCTCATGAAAAGCAGTACTTCTCAGCTAAGAACACAGTGTCCAGGGAAAATAAGCTGTAATGCTAGCTAAAGCTAATGAACTACATGCTCAACCATAGATGACGAGCGAGGACAGCAGGTAGACCTAAGATAAATATTGACGCCTGTAAATATAAATCATTTAATTGCTATCATCCAAGCCCAGACAGCTCTTTCTAGCATGCAATTTCACCATGTGCATGTTTAATGAGGATAGTTATACAACTCTATGTATAGAAAAGAATGAAGTTGCATTAATCATTAAATCTGTGTAACAATATTTGGGAGATGAGAAGAGAGAAGGATTTAAAAACTAAGACACTAAAACCGAGAAGACGGGAAAACCAGCGATATCCAGACGTTTCCTGCAGAGCTCTTAAGGAAACTGCTTTGCTCTCTCTAGCTTATCCATATCTCCTAGAAATTCTAACAGAGCACATTCAGAAAGTCAACAGAAAGTCATCTCAAAGAAAAACTACCAGTCTCATCACAAGCAAATAACTGTTTTCTTTTGTGGCTTGTTTTGTTGATTCTTAACTACCAAATGTTTGCCTGAAGCTCAAAATATGGGCAACTATGGCCAGGACACCAAGCTAAAGACACTCATGGTTCAAAGAGCAGACTTCACACACCTTCCATCCATCTACTGTCCCTTGGAGGATGCAGGGAACAGCAGCCTGGCAAAATGCAACCACCAAACAGCTGATTTTTTTTATTCCTGGGCTTGTGAACAGCCCAAGCAGCTGTTTGGTCAATACTCTGGGACAAGGGCAGGAGAGACATTTCCTCTTGTGCATATGAGCAACCTGGCACTGTACTGCTGTTACTCTGCTGCAATGCTTCAACCACCTTCACAGACAGGAAAGGCAAAAATTTAGATCCCATCTCATGCATGGGAGACATTGGAGCATCTATAAGAGGCACTGAACTATTTTGATTTGATGCAACGTGTGCAGAGAAGTGGGAATTAAGTCAGGTTAATAACAAAGGTTAGGACTTTTCTAATGGCTGATGTTTTCAGCTGAAGTCCTTGTAATTCCTTAGGTCTTTGAGAGTGCCTGCTGATGCTGCATGGAGAGCATGAAGCAGACAGCCTGCACAAGAATATAATTCTCTATTTAAATAGCAGACAATAATTAATTGTAACTGAATGCTTTTATGACTTCAGTTCTGAAAAACCTAAACTTTACACATTTATCTGAGTAATTCTGCTGGGGGATATTTCTGAGTACTTCCTTAAAAAAAGCAAACAAAATCCCACCTTCCTGATACAGATAAAGAATGGTGCAGACAGTCACTTGCAGGCTGGATGCAGGGCATGATTCAGACATTGAAATGCCACCACCTACCTGACTGCAATAACTAGAACATCGTAGTGATAACTGGAAATAAAACTGCCCATCTTCACATACCAGACTTCCCTATCCTATTAAAATCCTGTAACTGTATGTTAAGCACTTCTGAACACATATCAGAAATCAGTATTCAGTATCCAGGAAAGGGATCAGTCCCATTACTGCAAGTGACTGATTTCTTGGAATAACATTAAGTAACAGTGAAACCACTCCAACAGAATTTAGCAGTCCACAAAATGTCAGCAAAGAAAATGGGAAAGTACACATGAAGAATTATGGTTATATATGAAATGTTGAGAATTCTATGAAAACACCAGATGACATCTGAGCCGCAAGGGCCAGAGGCAGAAGCAACAACTACCTCTGTAAGTTAAGGGATTTAGCCACAGAGGATATGATCCACGAAACCCATGAAGTGAGGGAAAGGGAAAGACATACTGAGCTATATGCAAAGCTGCACTGCTAGAAAATTGTAACTTTTAAATATGAATTCCATAAGAATTCAATAACATTGGGGAAAACACACAAATTATTCAGGTAAGTTTTATTCTGATATAAGCTAGAAACATGTCATGAAGAGTAAGTCTTACATTCTAAAACAGGCTTTTGGAAAAGCAGACACCAAGAGAAAGAGCCTTGGCATGCTCTTCAGAGTAATTAAAACAGGTCTAGCTGCACACATTTTGATTTTGATCTAATCAGAAAGTAAGCAAAAGCACATCCAAGCTGTCAACACACAAGTGCAATCTCAGGAGTAAAAT